GAGCAGTCACCAGCCACATCGACCTGATCAGTGTTTGATTGTTGTGTCTTGTTGCTTTTCTTCTTTTGTCTCTCCTCTATCCACTCACCCCAACCGGTCGAGGCAGAAGGCCGCCCACCAAGAGCCGGGGTCTGTCGGAGGTTTCTTCCGTTAAAGGGAGTTTTTCCTCCCCACTGTCGCCAAGTGCTTGCTCAAGGGGAATTTGTTGGGTTTTCCCTATGTAATAATAGTGATAACAGTAAGGTCTAGACCTTACTTTGTAAAGTGTCCTGAGATGACTTTTGTTTGATTTGGCGCTATACAAATAAAATTTGATTTGATTTGATTTGACGTAGTTGCTTATTTACACATTGAGCATTCTCATTTGGACTCGTGTTTCTGGCCACCTGGTGACTGCAGGTCTAATCATCACTCTCTTTTAGCTTTATTTTTGGTCTCCATCAACCCCAGCTGTTAAACACTCAAGATGGCTTCTTGCTAAATTTGACAGCTATGGCTGGAAACAAAGTTAGAGGTAAGACAGAACAAAAAGGTAATATTGCTGGCTGTAAACAAATCAGCACTAAAAAGCTTAAATGCTCAGGGGAACAATAGAATCTTAAGTTAATTCTCTGCTTTTTCACGAGTGAAACCTTTAAAAAGTTCCACACAGCCATTTGATTCATTGTCAAATTAGTGTTTTTGAGAGTTAATGAATACCATTAAATAGGAAGCTAGTGCCAGCAGGTGATGTGTGAATTTGTCACTTCTGGATTAGTTTTTGCATAAATCAATTACTTACTACTTCAATAATTAATTGGTAAAAGTCAGAAGTGCTGGCAGGTATGTTGTTTTAAGAAGAGCAAGGCTAGCTGTTTCCCCTTGCTTTCAGTCTTTATTTAAGCTAAGATAATCACCAGGTGGCTTTAGCTTTATATTTAGTGTACAGACAACAAAGTGGTATCGGCCTTCTCTTAATACTGCAGCTGTTTTTTACTGTCTCCTAAACTTCTAGTCTCTTAAAACCATTCCTGTACCCACTGAACAGCTGAATAAGTAATAAATATGCAACATAAATACATTTCAAGCTACAATTAGATGATATATGAATAATTTATTTGGTAGAAAAATTAAAAAATGTTGAGAGGAGATTGACAAGCAATGTGATAAGCAAACTATTACATTGCAAAGATTAGTTGTAAATATATGGGGATGAGGGTTGACTCCCCTCTAACATGTTGATCCCTTCACAACTTTGTGTGTGAGGTTTTGAATTTGATAGAAGCTTCCCCAGGTGGCCTGAGGAATGAGAGCGGGAAAGGTTACACATGACAAGTTTGAAGGTGTAAAGGTGAGAAGGGCAGCAGTAGCCCCTGGGTGATTGTAGCAGCTGCTTCTGGAGCTTGAGAACTGCAGTAGTGTACAGTGTGTACAAAGAGCTAGGCACAAGTAAAAATGTGTTAATAGCAGTGGAGCGGTCTTATAGAGGAAAGGATTTTTCAAACAAACAAAAAAGATGAACTTGATTGTTTTTATATTCTTTTTAGCTGGGGGCAGACATCCAAGTGAAGACTTCAACAAGCACTTGATGGCAGTCAACCAAGTGAATGTGCATAAGCTTACCAAGCATCAATGTCTATCAATAACCTCAAGAGATATTAAACTCTAGACTTGAGTTTGGACTCGTGTCTACCATTGATTCAAAACTACTGATTTGCCAAAAAGTATGCATTTACAATTCACCTGGCCTTTCTGGCATTCAGTCAATTGCTGAATTGATGAATGGACTGTAGAAACCAACTGCAAATTACCCCAAACTCTCCCTCACTCATCACGGAGCAGGCTGAAAGGAAGTCAGCTACTGCGGTGTCAAAATGCAAATTTTCACCTCTGTTGTCGGCGCTGACTGACTGTGCTAGGAGGAGTGTTGACAGTTCTAATGCTCTGTCTTCCTCTGCAGGGTGGTGCAGCAGTCTGCGCTGCCTGGCTGAGAAATGAGGCCTGCAGGCTCATACAAGCTCAGGAGTAAAGATATCACACTGATGTAGTGAGGCCTCAGAGGGACAGCTCTCTTCTTCTTGCTCCTTTGCTTCATTAGGCCACTCACAAAGGAAGGCAGATCAGTGGAGGGAGATAGCACACTCGTGTCAAAACAACAGAAAGGGAAATAGATAAATAAAGGGCTTTCTGCTGTAAAAGCAGTGAAGTGCTATTCATCTAACAACCTGAGACAAGTGTATAAAACTTGCTTGTTTCTATAAAGCCTCAGCACACACAGCTGAACACCTCACTATAGAGATGCCTCTTGTGAAGCTGATCTGTGTTGGCTGGGTTGACTCTGAACCCTTACAAAAGTTGAAGCATATTGTCGTACAAGAATGTCAGTTTTGAGTGATTCTGCAAAACACAGTATTATGCTGTTACAAACAATTCGTATTATTCTGTGTTTTAAAATTTGGGATTATTTGCACATGGGAACATTGGTTTGGTCAGTGCTAGGGAATGACCGTGATTATGGCAAACAACTTAATAGTTTAATTCTGGTTA